GTGTGTGTGTGTGTGTGTGTGTGTGTTGGGGTTGGGAGAAGTGGTTTCCTTAGATTCTAAATACTTACGCTTTTAGACTCAAAATGCTACAGCTTCATTGAGTGCATTTCTCGCAGCTCTCCATGTGGCTGGTGGAGTGGTATGTTATTATTCAGTACATGGACTGCAGGACAATAATCCAGAATTCACATATAGCTCCTAACTATTTATGACCAACATTAACAATATGTTCCTGTTCATTCATGTCAACTACTTACCCTGCAATATTACAAAGTACTCAGGTCACAGCCTTCGAGATGGTGTAAAGTTTTATCATGACGGTACACAGAAAATATAAGGCAAAGCAGGAGAAGGCCATATGACTCTGAGATAGCAGGAACTGCAGATGCTGGAGAATCTGAGATAACAAGGTGTAGAGCTGGATGAACACAGCAGGCCAAGCAGCATCAGAGGAGCAGGAAGGCTGACGTTTCGGGCCTAGACCCTTCTTCTATATGACTCATATCTATCTCATATGACTCTGAGCCTGCTGCACCATTCAGCAAGATCATGCCTCGACTTCAGTTTCTGATTTGTTTTGTATCCACAACTCTCCAAATATTTACACCCTCCGAATGAACAAAGTTCTCTTCATTTCAGCCCCAGTTTACCAACTTCTTAGCCTGTGACAGTTTATTCGTGTTCAAGATTCTCCGGCCATGGATAACAGCCTCTCCATGTCTCTCCTGTCAAGCTTCTTAAGGATGTTACATCTTTCAAAGAAATCACCTCTCATCTCCTCAACTCCGGAGAATGTAAGCACAATTCACTCAATCTCTCTGTATACGAGAGCTCTCTCATCACAGGATTGAAACTAGCGATCCTTCATTTCAACCCCTGTAAAGTGAGGAATCCAAAACCTACAGTAATCTGGCACAATCTCATCAAGGCCCTATATAATTGTGATCACAAGATGCCGTGGAGACTAGAAATCTGAAATGACACATAGAAAACGCTCAAAATATTCAGATCAGGCACCATCTGTGAAGAAAGAAACAATATCAACATTCATCAGCACAATTATAAAAGCAAAATACACTTGAATGCTGGAAATCTAAAATCTAGACCATTGTAAATATTTAGAGAGGAGGGAGGTGGAGTTTTGAAATATCAGTGAGTTGAGGGCTGTGACACAAAAGAGGGTTGATGTCTAAGGAAGATCAGCCAGGTAGGGCAGACTGAAGAGGCCAAATGGCCTACCGTGCTCCTTTTTTTTTATGCTTGCAAGTTCTATTTTACTTTAGCAGTGTCCTTACTTCTTATTCCTATACTCCAACCTCCTTTTAGTAAAGGGTAATATGCTATTTACCTTCCTAATTGCTTGCGATTTCTACATATTTAACTTCCGGTGGTTACATGTGCCAGGGACAAAGGACAAATTAGCAAGTTCGCTTTCCTATAACTCTCTTAGTTTCTTTCCAAACAGGTTTTACAATCTTTGAACTTAGTTTTCAAAACTAATTCATCAACTTCCTCCTGAGGCGAGCGGAATCTGTCAGTTTATTTTTGTTTGACTGGTACAATCTGAAATATTTGCTATTTTTACCAGGTGTCCAAAAACTTTTATTGCTTTTGACATTAACTAGTCTCACACTAACTCCCAAGATGCTTTAGTGCAGCAGTAGAGAAGCAACATGGTGTAAAGGTTACTACTGGTTACCCCTGTGTAGTGGTTGGGTTACTGAGCTAAAAAATCCGATGGCAAGTGGCTCCAAATTCCACTGAAACAGATCAAGAACTTGAATTCACTGTAAGTTACCTTGAAGCTGTTGGACTATTGTCATGTCAGTGATGCCCTTTAGGGAAGGAAATCCACCATCCTTTCTCCACCTGGATTTATCTGTGATTCCAGTTCCACATGACTTCTTGATCTTTTGACGAAGATCAAGTGTAAATTCCAAGTTGCGATCATCAGATTCATCTCTGGATCTCGTGATTGACACTGGATCAGGATTTGGAGTGAAGATGATTGAGCTGAACTGCTATTGGTGGATCTCAGTTCGGCCTACCGCTGACACAGCTATCACTCAGCTTTTCAGCCATGGAGGCTGGAAGCAGTGGATCTTCAGGTCAGGAAGGGGTCACAATACATTCAGAGTGACAAATGGACCTACTTTGTGAAGAGAGTGTTTGAGTGCTGCAGTTCAGATATCTCCTGCGTACTTCCATGTCACCTTTAAAATCACCATGGGATGCAGCTGACTGCTAAAAGCCTTTGACAAAATAGATCGGGGCCTCTCTCACGGTTCTCACTGCTGTGCCATTATCCACATATGTACACCTCCCATGGACCGGTGCCTGATGTGCTCATGTTCTTCAGCAAATACGTGCAGATGGATGACAGCAATGTCCTTTAGGGAAGGAAATCTGCCATCCTCACTTGATCTGGCCTACATGTGACTCCAGACTTACAGCAATGTGATCTGGGCAACAAGGGATGAAAAATAAATGATGGCCTAAGCAGCAATGCCCACATCCCATGACTGAATTTTTAAAAAATGCAACACTGATGTAGTGGATCGATTCAGAATCTGGACTGGTAAAAAGCAATTCAGGGTGATCTTGGAACCAGTGGGTCTGTTGTCTACCCACCATTCAGCTGCAACATTGGAGGAAGTTGGAGCTACTTATTGTACACTGGGCAGCCTACAGTACGTTGCTCCTGTGGGTAAGCATGACACATGGCAGCAGACTGCCAGCTCACCTTCTGCAGAAACTATAAGCTGGAGAGGCACATGATGAACGACTACAAGGAGGGCCGGTGCTGCATTCTGTGTGAGGAAGCTAGTCATGTCTACAAGGCCTGCCCAAAACATGGTGCTAGGTCAGTGCAGATGGCCAAATTTGGCATCACAAACAGCGCTTCCCAATCAGGCACCACCATCCAAGACAAATAAAGCCAGGGACAATGCAAAAGGTCTGACAAGGAAAGGAGGACAATTTGGGAACTGAACCCATGCCCCTCAGCCTCCCTGGAGAAAAGAGAATCTCTAGGAAAGGAGGCAGCAGTAGGCTGATAGCAGTGACAAACCTTAAACACCTAGGAGGAGAGCCACCACAAATCAAGTGAGCAGCAAAATCTGGCGATGGCCTTAGTGAGACACCAGTGACTGCTCCTTCTCCAATGAAGAAATGCAGCAACAAAGTACCAAAAAGGGAAAGGAGATGAACAACCCTGAGCTGGGAAACAAAGGAGATGGCGAGAGGCTAGAGGTAAACCCGCTTTGAGATGTGCACCCCAGCTCCAGGCAACTGGGAGCAGCAATGCCCTTGACCAGGATCAGAGTGGGTCAACAGCTCCGCAGGTCAACAGGCCTGATGCTGAACCTGGTTTTCCTGCTGCCCATCTCCCCTGATATCACCTGCCAAGGACAATGCCCCCGAAGAGTACATGGCAACAAACTCAGCCCTGTGCAAGGGCAGCAGTTTGTAGACACCACAGACATGTAGGAGCTTACTCAGCAACTGGAGCAGCCTTAGAAATGGGTCTTTTGGACTGGTAATCTAAAAATTGAAACGTGGGTTTTAAAATTGCAAGTACCAGTGTGTGTAGTGATAAAGCCACTGCATAATGTGTCTGCATGTTGGAATTCCTAGCTAACAGGCTAAGCTGCCTTGCTGTTTCTGCAGGATCATGGGATACCACACCTTAGCAGCTACAGGAAATGGTCAAGTTGGTGAGCCCACAGACTATCAATTTGATTGGGGGATACTAGCTCCTGTTCCTGCAGCCTGGGGTACTCTGCTGTGGGGAAGCAACTTCACCTCCTCATAGCAGACTAAGTGCAGAAACGCTGCCCTGAGATTAATGAATGTGTACACCCTGTCAGCAATGAGTATCTGGCTGTCCTTCAGTAGCTCCCTCTGCTGCTGGCAATGTCCAGGCTGGTTACTCTGGCCACTGCCTCCAACTGAAGCAAAGATGTGACGAGATGATCCAGAGGAGCTGACAGCAAACTGGACACCATGTCCAGGTGCCAGGTGGGAATGGTAGAAGATGCCAAGCTGCATGACATCTTGAGCAACACCTGCAGACAGAGTACGGTGTAGATATATAGTTCTATTTTCCCAAGGGTAGACTTCCTGTTTGTGTGCCTCGCATTAATGATCAGATCCATTGACGTCAAGTCAGTGTTCCTCTCTGACCACTGCCTCCTACTGGCCAACCATCATCTACAGCAGGGGAACGTGGAAGCTGAATGTGAAACTATCGACCCAAGAAAGTAACTCGTAAGGGATTTCAAGGCTCAGAGAGCCATGAAACACTATATTGAGTCTCCAGTGCTGTGGTGGGAAGCAGCCAAAATGAACATTGAGAGAATTTTCCTCATCCCGAACTTTCCCTATAGATACATTTGCAGATGAGCATGAAAAACATTTGGTGTTATGGAGGGAGAGAAAAACCGGGCAAGTCAGTTCAATGGTCCCTGTTTATAGGATCACTGACTTGATCCTTTTGCTTGTCAGGACTTGCTGTTCTTAATTTTTTTTCTTCAGGGATTTTCACTTGCTTGTAGGAGCCAAAGAGTAACTGGTTTATATAAGTTATATAGTCTCTGACTTAGTGGTTGAAAACAACAGCTTATAGAGACTGGTGATGGAAGATAAACTGACATTCTTCAAGATCTAGGTGTCCTTCATTGCAGAGAAAAAAAAAACACTTTCCTTTCCAGAGATATGAGCAGTTCCATGAGGCAGGACTCTCTGTTGCATGGGCTTGTTCCTGGGTTGAACACTGAGACAAACATAACTGCGCCTGGAAGACCATAAACTTGATGAAAGGTGCTCTGTAGTCTGTCCAAAACCTGTTGGGCTTCAAATGCAAAGAGTTGTCCTTGACTGGGTGGCACTTTCCAAGGCCCAGGACTGCGTGCTGAGGGATGCTATAAAGCAGTGAGGGAAGGCCATCATCTAAGAACTTTATGCCACAATATAATGAGGAGCTGGTAACTTGTAGAACCCCTTTTAATTTGTTGTGGAATGTATATATTTCTTGCCATATTTAGTTAACATTCCATTTTTGCATTTGTAATGACAGCTCAATTGAGAAATGTGATCTTTTTATCATATTTTCTGGGATGTCAAATTTGGATTGTTTCATAATGCACTTATTTTATAATTGAAGTACATTTTTACAAAATAAATGTGATCCTGGTTCCACACCAACATGGCTGACTGCTAATTGCGTTGCTATGGAGCAGCTAGTCATGGGGATAAATTCTGAACTTGCCTGAAGATGAATGAAAGCATCAAAGTCATGAGCCAAGGCTTTTGGAATTTGAGATAATGAGGCACAAATTCTGCTAAAGTCTTTCTTTTTTGCCACCAAATTACTCAACATTTTTAAACTCTTCCTATTATCTTCAGGAGACTAAAGAGAGAAAAGGGTGCTGAACTGTTCCTTTTAAGGAGATTTTAAAAGCCATTGAACTTGGTTTTTAAATTAATGAAAACACACAATGCTTGTCCTGAGCTTGATTATATTAGCATGAATTCTTTGGCTCCAACAAAAGGAGTTTAGATTCCAAAGAGGAAATGTCCATTACTGTAAAATCTGCAGTAAAATGAGGCATTAGTGCATTAACACTGGATATTAGAAAAGCCATCCCCTACGGACAAGCTCTATGCATACACAGGATCTGCTCAGATGAGGAGGAATGCAACAGACACCTGAAGGTGTTGAAGGATGCCTTCATAAGAACAGGATACGACGCTCCACTCATCAATCGCCAGTTCCAACATGCCACAGCGAAAAACCGTAATGACCTCCTCAGAAAACAACACAGGATACAATCAATAGGATACCCTTCGTCATCCAGTACTTCCCCAAAGTGGAGAAACTACGCCATGTTCTTAGCAGCCTTCAACACATTATTGATGACAATGAGCACCTCGCCAAGTTTTTCCCCATGCTTCCACCTGTTGCCTTCAAACAATTGCCAAACCTTAAACAGATATTTGTTCGCAGCAAACTAATCAGCCTTCAGGACAACATCGACCACAACACCACACAACCCCGCCACGTCAACCTCTGCAAGTCATGTTAGATCATCGACATGGACACTACCACCACATGTGGGAACACCACCCACCACGTGCAAGGCAGATACTCATGTGACTCGGGCAATCTTGTCTATTTCATATGCTGCAGGCAAGGATGCCCTGAGGCATGGTATATTGGTGAGACCATGCAGATGCTACAACAACGGATGAATGGACACTGTGCAGCAATCGCCAGACAGGAACGGTCCCTCCCAGTTGGGGAACACTTCAGGGGTCAAGGACGTTCAGCCTCCGATCTTCAGGTAAACAACCTCCAAGGCAGCCTTCAAGATACACAGCAACGCAGAATCGCTGAGCAGAAACTGATAGCAAAGTTCCGTACCCATGAAGACAGCCTTGGATTCATGTCATGCTACATGTGACCCCACCACACTGTTCTCTCTCTGTAAAATCTTCCTTACTGTCCTGTGTTGATGCCATCACCTCTCTCATACTCTCTCTCTCTCACACACACACACCCCTATGGGGTGAATCATTTCATCCAAGATGTTTGTCCACTTGCAGATACATTCTATTTTGCTCAAAAAACAATTTGTAGTCACAGCCAGTCAGTGTAACATTTTATAAAATTCCTGCTTTCAGAATAAAACCAGCCTGATTCCAGGTTAGAACTCAGAGACAGATTCTGAATGCGACCTCACACCTACAAATCAGTGTCTGACCTGAGATGACAGCTTTTGTATCTCTGCCTGGTTGAAGTTTGTAAAATTAGGCAGACATTGATAAAACCTTTAATTATCTTGGGGCAGTGACATGAAACAGATTCCGGAATGTGCATCTTAATCAATCGAAACCTGTGTCTCCTTTCTAACAGAGTTCTCTATCAGCCATTTTATGTTTGTTCACTGCACTCACACCAGTTGTATGATCCTTTGATCTCTTTGCCTATAAACTCTGTGTCCGTGTGCCCTCTCTCACTGCAGCTGACGAAGGAGCGGCACTCCGAAAGCTTGTGATTTCAAATAAACCTGTTGAACTGTAACCTGGTGTCGTGTGAATTTTGATCTTAACACTGGATTGGAATATTGAAGAAGTACAGCTGTTGATAGGCTAGGTGCAGAGTTAGTTTATTAATATCCATGTATAATAATGAAGAACTATGAAAATTAAAGAACTGAATCAAACTATTATACAATCAGGCAGCAACCAGCAGCCTGACAATAACTATGGTAAGATTTCACTCTCAAATCTCATAAAATAAAACATTTTGCCTGCAACCTATCACTGTCTCAACTGCTCATGCCAACACTGAGGCCACATCCTTCCACTTCTGTGTTCGCATGAAAAATCCACTCCTGCCTTAGCTTGTCTGCTTTAGAAACCCTTATCCATGCCTTTGTGACTGCTACACTTCAACATTCCATTACTTACCTGACTGGCTTCCTTTCCTGCATTCTTAAACTTCATCTCATTCAAAACTCTGCTGTCCACCCCACCCCCAAACCCTTATCCTCACTTATACCTAGTCCTGGTTATCTATCATCCCTTTGTTTGCTGATCTAAAATAGCTCACAATCCAGTAAAACCTCAAGTTTAAAAGTCTCAACCTCCTGTTCACGTCCTTCAAAGGACTAACCCTGCCCTGTCTCTTGAATATCTTCCAATCCCACAACAATGGAATAACTGAACAATGCAGTGCCGAAGGCAATCATTCATCTTATGACATCCTGCTCAATGAAAGAGCTACCTAATCCTATTGCTCTGTTCTTTCTCCTAGTCTGCCACTCTGCTGAAAATGTGCAATCTAAATTCAAGTTCTTCAGATCTGTTTTATCTATATGTAAAAACTCATTGCCCTGTTTAGTAACTTCATCACTTGAAATCAGAGAGTCATACAGCACCAAAGCAGACCCTTTGGCCCAACTTGTCCATGTTGACCAGGTTCCCTAAACTTCACGTTTTCACTTTGGTTTTCCAACGATTAATTTCTAAATTGTGTTTCATTCTTAGGTTATAATTTCTGTATCAATAATTTGCTGACCATCCTTGTCAATTCCTAGCTCGCTCTGTCTGTCTCTGCAAACCTTAGTCCCTTCGCCTTTGTTCGTTGTCCATTGTCTTATGATTCTGATTTCAGTGTGTGTGCTGAATTACTTTCTAAATCTGGCACCCTGCACCCAGTACAGTGGCACCATCAACAAAGACATGGTGACACTGAAAATGTATCAGGTTTACTTTTCCTGCATATCAGGGGTAGTGGTGGGGTGGGGGGTAGCAGGCTGTATTTTTGCATCTGTTTCTCTGTTGTATTAAGGGATACAAGTGGCCTTTGTGTGTATGTGTGTGCGCCTCACAAATCCCCATTAAAAAGGACTGAATATCCCATGGGAAAGTTTATCATGGTCAGAGTTGAATTTGTACGTATTTAGGTGGCTCCTGTAGCACATTGAAATATTTGTGTATGGCTAGAGGTCAGTTCACTGTAACACTGTGCGTGTATCAATGGAAATGGAGAAAGTGGAGATTTTATATTTCAATATCTCACAAGACAAGATGGAAAACAGCTTCAAAGAAAGAAAATAAATTTATACAGAACCTTTCACAGGACACTACAGGACATTCAAAGTGCCTTACAGACATTGAATCACTTTTGAAGTCTAGTTACTGCTGTGATGTAGGAAATACAGCAACCACTGTGCACAGAATACTTCAGGCATGGAAGGTAATGACAGAACTATAAGAAATCTATTGATTAAACCAGAAAAAAGAAATAATAAACAGGTGAATAAAGCATTAGTGCTGAGGGACATTGTACAGTGTAAAGCCCAAGTCAGAGTTTATTACATGAATGCACAAAGTGTCAGGAATAAATTAAATCAGCTGCAAGTGTAAGTTCTAATTTGCACAATGTAATATAACAGCCATTACTGAGACATGACTGCAGGATGGTCAGGATTGGGAAATAAATATACCAGGTTATAAGATTTACAGGATGGACAGGAAATGGAATAGCTTTACCGATAAAGAGCAAAATTATTTCTGTGGTGAGGGGGGATATAATGAGGGGAAAGCATTCAGTGGAGGCCAGATGGGTGGAACTGAGAAAAAGCAAAGGATCTAAAACTGTAATAGATGCTGTGTACAGACCCCCTTGGAGCAGCTCTGAAGTGCTAGATTGTATAAATGCAGAAATTAGGCAAATGTGTAGCAAAGCCAGAGCAGTATTAATGGGGGATTTTTTTAACATAGATTGGGGGAAAGTCCCTGTCAGAAAGGTAGTGAATTCCTGGAGTGTGTCCGGGATAGTTTCTTACAGCAATATACTTTGGATACAACAAAGGCACAAGCAAGATTGGGTTTAGTAATGAATAATGCGTCATGAGCTGGATTTAATTAGTAACCTAATCGTGTGTGAACATTTATCAAATTGTGATCAAGGTCAATGCAGCACTTGAAAGTGAAAAGATTAAAGTCAGCTACTAGATTTTAAATTTAGGTAAAGCTGACTTTAACATGATGCGACAAAGACTGTTCACAGTAAACTGGGAAAATCCGCTAATAGGTAAAACAACTGAAGAACAATGGCTTGGGGACAGTAAGGACTGCAGATACTGGAAGCTAGAGTCAAATAAATGTGGAGCTGGAAAAGCACAGCAGGTCAGGCAGTATCCTGCCTGGAGCAGGAAAGTCAATGTTTTGGGCTGAAACCCTTCAACAAGACTCCTGCTCCTTGGATGCTGTCTGACACGCTATGCTTTTCCAGCTCCACATTTATTGACTGAAGAACTGTGGAGGACGATTAAAGAAACAATTAACTCAAAGCCCACGAGCAGGAAAAGATCCATTTCACAGAAAAAAAGAAACAGCCATGGATAGCTGAAGAGATAGGGGACAGCATAAAACTAAAAGAAAAGGCTTTCAAAAATGCAAAAAAAGACGCAGATCCTGCTGAATGGGAAAGATATGAAGGGTCACAAAGCAGCAATGGATGTCCAAAGGGACTTCTGGGTTCAGGTGCAGGGCTGTTTAAAGGGATTATGATAGAAAACAAGCCAGGGACATCAAAATCAATAAGAAAAAAAATGATAGTGACATGAAGGGAAAGCTGTGGTCAGGCACTTTAAAGACTAAAAGTGGGGATATTGTCAATGACTATGGGGAAATGGCAGACAAATTGAATAATTACTTTGCCTCAGTATTTTCAGCAGGAAAGAATAACTGCTTGCCAGAAGTTCTGTAAAAATTAATAGTGGATTGGGAGCAGGGACTCAATAAAATTAATGTGAGTAAAACATCAAGCTGAGGAAATTATTGGAATGAAACAGTGACATATCCCTGGGACTTGGTGATTTCCATCTGAGGATATTAAAGGAATCAGAGGAGCATGTTGAAGACACCCTAACTATAATATTTCAGAGTTCCCTAGACATGAGTTGTTCCTCTGGATTGTACAAGTCACTCCACTTTTTATGAAGGGCAAAAGAGAAAAACTGGGGAATTACAGACCGGTTAGCCCAGTTGGAGTCTATACTCAATGGCAGAGGTAACTGAACACCTTGAAAATTTTCAATTAATCAGGGAGAGCCAGCATAGTTTCATGACAGATAGATCATACCTGACAAACCTCATTGAATTTTTGGAGGAGGTGACTAAGGTAGTGGATGTGGGCATGTCTATGGATGTTGTTTATATGGATTTCCTGAAGGCATTTGATAATGTCCCACATAAGAGGCTGTTAACTGAGAAGGAAGCCCATAGAATTGCAGGTATATTACTGACCTGGCAGTAAAACTGATGGAGTGACAGATGACAAAAAGTAGGGACAATGGGAGGTATACAAATTGGCAGGGTGTGACCAGTGTTGTCGCATAATAATCTGTGTTACAGCATCAACTATTCACATTATTTATTAACATCTTGCAAAATGACATAAAAAGTCATATATCCAAATTTGCTGATGACACAAAGTTAAGCATCATTGTAGACAGTTTAGATAATACCATGCAAAGGGGTGTTGATAGAATGACTGAATGGGCAAAACTGTAACAGATGGATTCCAATGTAACCAAGTGTGTGGTTATCTATTTTGGACCATAAAAAGGATAGATCAGGGTACTTGGTGGATGGTGTGAAGTTAAGTAGAGTGAATGTTCAAAGAGGCTTGGAGGAGGATCAGGTGCATACATCTTTAAAGTATCATGAACACGTGCAGAAAATAGGAAAGTTAATGGAGTACAGGCCTTTATATCTTGTGGTTGCAGCACTCTCTTAACACTGACCCAGTGACAGTGCAGCACTCCCTCAGTATTGACCCTGTGACAGTGCAGCACTCCCTTAATACTGACGCTGTAACAGTGCAGCATTCCCTCAGTATTGACCCTCTGACAGTGCAGCTCTCCCTCAGTACTGACCCTCTGACAGTGCAGCACTCCCTCAGTACTGAAACCCTGACAGTGCAGCACTCCCTCAGCATTGACACCCTGACAGGGCAGCACTCCCTCAGTACTGACACCCTGACAGTGCAGCAATCCCTCAGTACTGACCCTGTGACAGTGCAGCACTCCCTCAGTACTGACACCCTGACAGTGCAGCACTCCCTCAGTACTGACACCCTGACAGTGCAGCACTGCCTCAGTACTGACCCTCTGACAGTGCAGCACTCCCTCAGTACTGACACCCTGACAGTGCAGCACTCCCTCAGTACTGACCCTGTGACAGTGCAGCACTCCCT